TGTACCCGCTTTGTCTTCAGCGATTGTCAGGAAGTTGAGCATCACAGAATGACAGGTTATTAGAACAAAGTGTTCCTGCATTCAGGGAGTACAGTACTTGAGTAGAGGCCCTATATCCATCTGCTCCTTGATATTTAACATATAAATATATGTACATAGAATCTATTTCCCTATCATTATATATAAATATATTTCATTATATAAAAATAAATTTACATATGTACATGCCTGTATTTAGACCTATATGAATACCTTTTGCCTCCTAGTTCTTCCTCTATTTCCTTTTACTTTCCTCTTGTCCCCCTATCATGTTCAGCCTTCCTTCAGATTTGAGTAATTTCTCTTGGTTACATAGTCCTTGATCAAGGAGGAAGACTTATTAACAAGCTGTGACATGCAGCTGACAGAGCCTTGCTTATGGAAGTCGAGGGGGTCTTGAAGCACTTGATGATGAAGGTAAAGGATTGAGGCCTTCGGTATGGGTTGTAACTCAATGTAAAGAAGACCCAAACCGTCACAGCTGGTTCAATAGGTAACATCATGATAAATGGAGAAAAGATGGAGTTTTCAAGGATATTATCTGCTTGGATCCACAATCAATTGAGAGAACACACACGGAGAGAAATGGCATTGAGTAATACTACTGCACAAGACTTCTCTAAAGTATGACTAGCTACTTTGAGGACTAAGGTGCACTTGACCCAAAGTATGGTATTTTCAATTGCCTCATATGCATGTAAAAGTTGGACATTGAATAATATAGACCAAAAAAGAATGGAAGCATTGAATTAAGTTGGTGGCAAAGAATATTTAAAGTCCTATTACCTGCCAAAAGAACAAACACATCTGCCTTGGAAGAAATACAGCGAGAATGTTCCTTAAAGGCAAGGACAATGATTTTGTGGCATGTTATCAGGGGAGGCCAGTTCTGGAGAAGGTTATCATGCTTGGTGAAGTAGAGGGGCCATGAAAAATAGGAAGGCCCCCAATGAAATGGAGTAGCACCATGGCTGCATCTGTGGGCTCAAATGTAGGAGTATTGGTGGAGATTACACAGGAATGGTCGGTGTTTGCTTTGTTCTACATAGGGTCTCCATGCATTGGAACCTGGTGCCTCACAACAATAACATATAAGATAAACTCAAGGCATATTAAAGACATAAATGTAAAACCTAGAACTATAAAAATCATTAAAGAAAAATAGGCACCAATTTAGGTACCCTAACACATGAGGCAAACACACTGTTGACCATAATAAAAGGTACACACATAGAGAAGAAAGTAGATAGATGTCTAGTATCTCCTTAAAACAAGAAACTTGATTTCACCTATAATAAAATATTTCACCTACAGAGTAAAAGGAAAACCACAGAGCTGGAAAAAACAAACTGGTAATGACCTACTGGATCCTATATTCTATAGAAAACATTAACATCTCAACAAGAAAAATATAAATTTTCCAATCTAAAAATAGGCAGAGGCATAACAGAAAGTTCACTGAAGTCCTCCAGGCAACCAACAAATATATGGAGAAATGCTTCCAATCTCCAGAAAGCTGAGAGCTGCAAATCAAAACAACCCTGAGTACTACCCGTCCCCAGAATCGATAGGGAAGTTCAAAAAAGCAGAAGAGGACAAATGCGGCAAGGGTTGTGTAGAGACTGGAGCCCTCAGATACTGCTGGTGGGACTGTAAAAAAAGTACTACCGTTATGGATAACCATGTAATTCTTTCTCAAACAGTTTAGAATAGAATTACCATATGATCCAGGAATAGCTATACTTAGTAAATATCCTAGAGAAACAAAGAATGCAACAAAAGTAGATATATGTATGTCCATATCCATTGCAGCCCTGCTCATAATATCAAGAAGCTGGGAATAGCATAAATGTTTATCGATGCAAGAATGGATAACTACATTTTGGTACACATACACAACCAAATATTATGCAACATTAAAGAATAATGATAGACCAGTGAAGAACCTCATGCCATGATGCTGAGTCATTAGTCAGAAACAAATGGGCAAATATTGTATGTTACTGTTATAATTACAAATCGATCAAGAAATAGTTCCCATACCCAAAAGAAACAGGCTTTGATATTACCAGAGGTGAGAGTGGAAGAGAGGAATGGGGAAGCAGTAGGTTAGAGGGTAGACAGGTGTTAACTTGGAGGCTGGTGTAGATACTACACAACAAGGGGAAGATAAGAGGGAAAGTGGGGACCCAGCGGAAACAGGAGAAGCCATTGGGAGGTTTGATCATTTATTTAAGCGTGGATTGCAAAAATGATGGTCTGATATGTAAATACCCATCTTTTTCATTAAATGATGGAGACTAAAAGTTTAGAACATAAGAAGCCTGTCCTTAAAGGACTTTCAATCTAGTAGGGACAGCAGATTGATACAAAATATACCAGGGGCGAAATGCTAGCAATCCCTCTGTGCTTTTGATATTAGAATCCAATCACAAGTACCCGAGAGCTTTATGAATTGGAAATAGTGCTATACTCTCTTAGCCTCTGTTTCCTCTTTCATAAAATGAGACCAGTACATGTACAGTTTTGTACGAATAAAACTCATGAATAAGTACAAAATTTACTAAGTGCTTTTCCCTGTTGGTTTGTTGTCATCGTCATCATTATTAATATTAATATGTCATTTAATCCTTAAAGAAACTCTTTGCCGTTATGGTAAGCAGTTACCGGGGACTTGATCCAACTTCTGTTGCCCCTCCTGTGTGTCAGCATGGAATGATACTCCCTAAGGTTTTCAGTGGTTGATTTTTCAGGACTAGATCATGAGGCTTGTGTTCTCAGACATGTCTGTGTGGATCCTGGCCTCAGTCTTTCTCGTAGCAGCTGAGCATGCTAACCATCTCCGTCACCAAGGGATTTATTCCTAAGCACTATTCTTGATCTCTCTTTTTACAAATAATTGGTGCTGTGTGTTAGATGTTGCAACTGCACGATTAAGTGGTTCAAACTCAGCAGTCACTCCATAGGACAAAAGTGAGGTTGTCTGGTTCCATGATCTTTACAATATTGTAAACTTTATATAGGGTAACAATGAGTCCGAATTCACTCAGTGGCAGTAGAGGCTTCGGAAATACAGATACATTAAGTAATTTGCTCTAGAGTATAGAAAATTTAAGTGGTGGAGCTAAGATTCAAAGTCAAAGCGGACGGAGTCTCAAGTTCAGATTCTCAACCTCTATGCTAACCCCATTTTATTCACTCCTGGGTGACACTATGTCTGGATGAGAAATCGTTATGGACAGTCTGGGAAAAGCAGATGGCTCGACTCCTAAAGGCAAGTCCAAGTTCTAGAAGGAAATGGACAAGTCGTACAGAAACGATAAGCTAGATTAGTGGGATAGGACGAGGAAACAGCACAGATCACAGAAAGGTATAAATAGTTCAGATACCTTGATTTTACTTTTTACATTGGTGGTTGGAAACAAACAGTAGTGCTGTCAGCAGAGGTAAACTAGATTTAGAGAAAACGTTAGATTCAAGTCATCGAAGATCTTAAGGTGGCTTAGGAGAGGTAGTGGGAGATTTATTAGTTCAAGGGCTTTGATTTTTGGGGGTTTTTTGGCCTAAAAGTAGCAGAAACCAACTAAAGGGAGCATAAACTCCAATAGCAGTAATTATTGCTACTACTCTTATTTATTTTAAGGATCTGATAGCATCCTACAGCAGTTGCATCGTTAATGTTGATGGTATGTGAGTGAGGCTTCACTTGTTTGGATCCAGAGCTCGCCTTACACCGGGAGAACATGCAAGCTATTATGTTAATATGATAGATTCATTCCGGACTGTGATCTCTTGTGTCTTTTTGTTTCGGTGAACAGATCTTTGCCTCAAATGGAGAGTCTTACCTTCATCTGCTAATTACCAGGAAAAAGATTTCCTTGACATTTGGATTTGTGCTAATAATCCCAACCCGCTGGAAAACAGGTAGATTTAACAGAGTTTTCTAAAATCTGGTATCTACCAGAAAATATCGGCTATAAATAGATTTTGGCTTAGGTGCTGCCATCTCTTCAAATACTTCCTAGGCCCATGCTACGTGAAGAAAGAGACTTCATTAGTGTGTTTTATTCCAACAGATAAAAGTAATCTTGGTGCGTTTGTAGACATTGGGATATAAAAACTCTGTGCTGCCACAGCCTGGTAGCTAAGAGTTGTGACTTCAGTTCATTTTCACGCAACCTACGCCCTAACTGTACAGGAGTGTTACAGCATGAGTGTCCCTAGAGACAATGCACTGTTAGACCATGTGCTCTTCCCATTGAATCACATATTGATTTCATTGTTTTGTGCTCTTGGAGGAAGAAGTGCAGGTCAAAAACAGGAAAAAGACCAATTAAATATTGATAGATGTCAACATTGTTTCAAGCCCTTTCCCTGGAGGCAAAAGATTTAATACTCACTTTAACAAAGGCAGCCTTGGGCAGAAAGAAAGTAAAATTAAACAGAGGAATGAACTTGGTGGCAAAAGCTATATAGAGAGGTATAAAGATAAGGATGTACATATATAAATATATTAATATATAAAGATAGGTGTATGTACATACACCTATTTATATTTATATGTTAAAGTATTAAGGTAACAGACAGACTTTGGGCCTCTACTTAAGTCTTCCCTCAACTCAAGAACCCTTTGTTCGAATAACCTGGCATTGTGTGATACTCACCTTCCTGACTTGATCACTGGAGACAAAATGGTTGCATAAGCAAATGTGGTGAAGAAAGCTGATGGTGCCTGGCTATTAAATGATATCACACCTGGGGTCATAAGGTTATAAAGGCTTGAAGTTAAAAAGCGGTCATCTAACAGGGAAGCAACCATACCCACATGGAAGAAGCGCACCAGGTGATCACAAGGTGTCGACAGGATCAGATATCAGAAGATCGAAGCCAAACACTTATATCAATGGGAAAGAGAGGGGTCAGAATAGAGACCCAAAGCCCAGCTGTAGACAATTGGACATCCCCTCATAGAAGGGTCACACAGAAGGGACGCTTCAGCCAGGGTGCAGTTTAGCACTGATGAAACACACAGCATTCCTCTGGTTCTTTAATGCCCCCACCACCACCACCACACTCTCCCCAACCCCTCATGGCTTCAGTTCTACCTTACAAACCATGCTAGATTAGAGTATGTACATTGGTACAGATAAGAGCTTTTGACACATGGAAACCAGAACAGATAAACCCCTCAGACAGTAATGGGAATAGTGGCACCATGTGGGTAGGGAGTGGGTGGGGGGCAGAGAGGGAAAAGGTGGGGAACAAGATCCATGATGGATATATAAACCACCACACTGTAGCCCCTGAGGGGGACAGACAACAGAAACATGGGTGAAGGGATACAGCAGACAGTGTAAGATATGGAAAAAAATATATGTATAATTTATCAAGGGTTTACGAGGGTGGGAGGGTGGGGGACAGAGGGGAAAAATAAGGACCTGATAATAAGGGCTCAAGTAGAAAGTGCTTTGAAAATGATTATGGCAACATATGTACAAGTTTGCTTGATATAATTGATTATGGATTGTTATACTATCTGCAAGAGACCCCAAATAAAAGATTTAAATTACAAAAAGGAAAAAGAAATGGCTGCTGAAACTTCTTCTATTGAGTCCAAGGGTTAATTATCTTTAGAGACTGAAGAAACATATCAGAGGTTGAAGGGTGCTGAGAGTTTACATGGTTCAGCGATGTTTTCAAACTCCTTCGCACTTGATTCCTTTTGTTTTAATTGTTGTTTTTAAATGCAATTTCTCTCAAAACTCTAATAAACAAAACCGATAAAGGCAGAAATGTCCTGGTTGAAGTGGTGGCTGGAAATCTGGGTATCACAGGTATGCGCTCCCTCTTTCTGATCGCTACGTTCTGCAAGTCACCTAGGACTCCATAGAACATTCTTCTAGCCGGACATTTTCATTGTAGAAACAAGAGAATTAGAGCCTCCAAAGAGTTCAAGAAACCATCAGCTGAGCCCTTTGTATGCCTAAACTGATTATGACCTAACTTGGAATTAAAATGAGGAGCTCTGGTGGTGCACTGGTTTAAGCCTCAGTTTGCTAGTTGCATGGTTTGCAGTTCAAGCACACCAATCACTCCGGGAGAAAGATGAGGCTGTGTGCTCCTGTAAAGACTTACTGTCTCAGAAACCCGAAGGAGCAATTCTACTCTATCCTTCTAGAGTTGCTCTGAGTTGAAATCAACTCAGTGTCAGTGGGTTTGGGTTTTGGAATAGAAATACCTTGCAAACAGAAACAGAGTGTAGGTTCAGTTTCAGTAGTAAAAATAGCGAATACTATTGATCACTTGGTATGAGCTAGGGCCCTTTCAGACAGTGTGGAGGATAATGGTTAGAGTTCAGACTGTGCCAGACTCCCTGCATTTGACTGCTGTAGGTATGAAACCTTGGGCAAATGATAAGACCTTTGTAAATTCATTTCTTGGTCTGTATATGGAGTTATAATAGCCCTTGGACGTATCTTCTCTAGGTCTAGCTGGGTCTCATCTAAAGACAATCTACTGAAATCCCCTGATTACAGGGCCTTTAATTATGATCATCCAGAATATAGGGCACTGTCCACAGGCATAATTATATACTGAGGATTTTATAGATTAGTCTTTTGCATTTTCAGACTCACAGACCTGGGATGCAGACCAGGACAGCTTCCCTTTTCCTCGACTTACCATTTCCCTCAAACTGACCTGTTTTTAGTCTCTGCTGGTTGAAAGGTGATGAAGCCATCACAGAGCATTGCTAAATTAGTTTCAAAGCTGGCATGCTCTATTTCTTTTACATATCAAAATGAGGCCACTTGTGATGAGAGACAAGATAATTTTAGCCTTCATGACAGGAAATTGATGGAGTTTCAAAGCCTAAAATGCAAACTCTTCTTATATTTATAATTTGCTTAAGTCCTTGGTTCTTTAAATATACTAGCATACTACTGGCCATCTGTATTTTATTTTTACTGAAAAGAATATGGGGAGAAAAAAGCTCATGGTAGCAAGAGATTTGGGTGAGATATAAAGAAACACTTGATTATAAGGGCATTTATCAATAGTTAGTTGGTACCTCCTTCACTGAAAAATGATTGACTTTCTTGTGGATAAGCTCCAGCAGAAGGGAAATTGATTTGATGATTTTGATCAGTCCCCTTATTTAATATGGTGGGAGTAGGCAGTGCATATCTTCAAACTATGCTTTGATACAGATTATCGTTATGCAGAACTGACACACATATTGAATTTGGATAAGATCATATGAAAGTAGTAGGTTAAAATCACGAGAAGGAACATGTCGTTCTCTAGTAGGTAACATTGCATTAGCAAAGGGACAAGTGCCATTGTTGTACTGATCGCACTAAACAGAATTAGTCCCAGTAAGCAAGGCTTGAATGAACAATGTATATGTGAGGAGATTCAGGAAAAAGTACCAGCCTTCTCACACATAGAAATTTAACCACCATCCTAAGATGAAGAAATTGAAGATTTCCCCAAACTTCTGTAGTCTTATATCTGGCAAACACAAAATCAAGATGCATTGATAATTACTGGTGATTGGAATGTGAAAGGTGGAACTAAAGGAAAATGACCAATGGTTGGAGAACATGGCCTTGGTAATAAAAACAAAGCTGGAGATCACATGATAGAATTTTAAAAGACAATGGAGTTATTTAATGTAAAGACATTTTTAATAACATAAATTGCAATTATGGAATACACAGGAAACAAACTGACAACATTTGTGGAAAAAATATGGAGTTTATCAGTATCGTGAGTGAAAATAAGGCTAGGAACCAACTGTGGAACAGATCATCAGTAGCTCCTATGCAAGTTTAAGTTGAAGCCGAGAAAAATTCAAACAAGTCCATGAAAGGAAAAGTAAAGTAATGAGTATGTTCCATCTAAATTTAGAGACCATCTTAAGATGATCAGGCTTATTGGACACTAATGACCAAAGATCAGATGAGTTGTGAAATGACATAAAAGACATGATACAGGAAGAAAGCGAAAGGTCATTCAAAAGACAAAATAAAAATCATACCAAAGTTCGTGTCAGAAGGGACTGTGAACATGGATTCTGAACATCTTGAAGCTAACACAAATGAAGATAATAACGAAGCAAAATTGCTGAACAAAGATTTCCAAAGGCAATTCAAGAAGACAAGAGTTAGGTATCATGTTGAAACAGATCTTGAGTTAGAACACCAAAAGAGAAGAATAAGCTTAGCATGGTTTCAAGCTGAAAAAACTAGAGAAAAAGAACTGAAATTTTGAGTTGCAATATTGCTAATTTTATAAGCAAAATATTGGCTACTAAAGAGAAGATGGAAGGAATACACAGTCACAATACCAAAAATAAATTGGTCGATGTTCAACCATCTCAGAAGGTAGCATATATTAAGAATCAATGGTGTTTAAGTAAAGTCCACACTCTACAAAGGCGTTGATAATAAACAAGGCACCAGAAATGGTCAGACTGCCAATTGAGATGTCTCAGTCAATGCATGCAACACTGAAAGCACTCACTTTTAATGCAGAGAAAGTTGGAAGGTAACTATGTGACCAACCAATTGGAAGAGATCTCTATGTGTGGCCATTCCAATGAAAGTGATCCATCTTCTTGTTATGAACAGTGCTGTCATGAACTTGAATGCGCATTTATCTCTTCAAGATACAGGTCTTATTTCTTTAGGATATACCAAATACAAGGAATGCTGGACCATCTGGTATTTCTAGGCCCAATTTTTTTTTAGGAATTGTCTACAGTGGTTCCACTCTTTCACAGGCCCACCACCAGTGTGTGAGTTTTCTAGCCTTTCTGCATCCTCTCTGGCATTTGTAATTTTCTGAGCTGAAAAAAAAACAAAAAAACAAAAACAGAAGGCAGAACTAATATTACACAAAAGTAAAATTTTGGCCAAGATAACATCAAAAGAATTACACCAGAGCATCACCAAGGAATTACCAAAAATTCAAGTCCGATTCAGAAGATGTAGAAGAGGGATATCACTGCTGATGTTAGATGACTCTTGGCTGAAAGCAGAGCATACTATCAAATAACACATTCTTGACTGTGCAAAGGAATTCAACTATATGGATAATAACCAATTGTGCAGAACATTGCAAAGAACTAGGATTCCAGAACACTTAATTGTGCTCATGCAGAACTCATCCACAGCTCAAAAGACAGTCGTCTGAACAGAACAGGGTGATACTGAATTATTTAAGAAAGCTGGACCCAAAAGCAACACCATGATAAGTGTAGAAACAAGTGAATTTGCTAATGGAACCCATGTTTGCCCATGGAAGCAGTAGACAAAAAAATCATGAGGGGGAGTGCAGAGTGGGGACAACGGGCCTATCCGGGGGAAATTGGACATCCCCTTGCAGAAGGGCTGCGGGGAGAGAGGAGCAAATCAGAGTGCAATGTAGTAACAATGAAATAATGCAATTTTCCTCTCATTCTTAAATGCTTCCTCCCCCCCCACTACCATGTTCCCAATTCGACCTTACATATCCGGCTGGACTGGAGGATGTACACTGGCACAGATAGGAACTGGAAATACAGTGAAGCCAGGACAGATGAACCCCCCAGGACCAGTGGAGAGAGTGGTGATGGCGGGAGGGTGGAGGGAAGGAGAGGGAGAAAGGGGGAACAGAGGACAAGGACATATGGCCTCCTCCCTTGGGGATGGACAGCGGAGAAGTGGATGAGAGAGACGTTGGATGGGGTAAGATATGATAAAATAATAATAATTTATAAGTTATCAGGGGAGGGGGGAGCTGGGAGAGAGGGGAAAAAATGAGCTGACACCAAGGGCTCAAGTGGAAAGCGGGTGTTGTAAGAATGATGAAGTCAACATAACGTACTAATGTGCTGGACACAAATGACGTATGTACAGATTGTGATGAGTTGTATGAGCCCCTAATAAAATGATTATTTAATTAAAAAAATCAAATGACATGTTGCAGAGAAAAGACCTCTTTAAAGTGTTAAAAAGCAAAGCTTTCACTCTAGAGACTAACATGAACCTACCCCAAGCCATAGTATTTTCAATCACGACATATATACGTGAAAGCTGCAGAGTGAATTCGAGTGAAGATGAATTGATGCCTTTCAATAATGATGTTGGCCCAAATAAATAAATCGAGTATACCACGGACTGCCAGAAGAATGAACATATCTCTCTTGGAATATGAACAGAGTGCACCTTAGAAGTGAGGGTGGCAAGTTCTCATTTCACATATTTTGGATGTATTGTTGAAAAGGAGTAGACCTTGGACTAGCTGCTCTAGATGTCTTAAAAATGTTGAAGAGCAAGGATGTCACTTGGAGGATAAGGTGCACTTGACCCAAGCCATTTTTTTAAATTAAATACGTTTATTTGGGGCTCTTACATCTCTTACCACATCTATGCATTCATCCTTTGTGTCAAGGACATTTGCACGCATTTTCTTTCTACTTGAGCCCTTGATATCAGCTCTTCATTCCCCCCACTCCCTCTCCCACCTGCTCTCCCTCATGAACCCTTGATAAGTTATAGATTATTATTGTCATAACTTACATTGTCCTCTGTCACCCTTCACCCACTTTTCCATTGTTTATCCCCCTGGGAGGGGGAATTGGGAGCATAATAGTGGGGGGAAGGAAGCATTAAAGAACTAGAGGAAAGTTGTGTGTTTCATCCGTGCTATACTGCGCCCTGAATGGCTCATCTCTTTCTTGTGACCCTTTGATGTGCCACTATAGGTTAGAACATACTTGAGGGCCCTTAACAATAAGCACCACCTAAGAAATACATCCCAGCATGTTTCCATTACTTTAATGGTGTGCATTTATCTATGTGTTAAATAATATATAATGATACCTTATCATTTAACTGAACCAGAAATGTCTGGATTTTACAAAGGATGTTAAAAAAGGCTACATTTTTACATATTAAAATGTAGTGCACTTCCCAAACTTTTAAATGAAGATAATTGAATGGATTGGTTGTTAATAAAAAATACTTGAGTTTCTCTTCCTTAATAAAAAGCTAAGTGCCTCAAATTTCTTTCTAAAATAAAACAGAAACCTATGCAGGCGCCACCCATGATGTCTTCAAATGAACTCTGTGGTTGACTGTCTATATAGTCCTTGTGCTCTGAATTTGTTTATCTAGAATCTTTCTTTGAAAAATAACAATAATAGCAAACAGCATATGTGGGTAGACTTAAGTATTTTCCACCCAGTAATTGAATTTTATTGTAGTTATTTACTCTTCTTTGTGGGTTAAGAGCAAGAAAAATATATTCTGTAGCTCTGAAAAATCAGAGAAATAGGGGGTTTGATCTGCTTCAATATTTCCTCTCTGTTTCAGATGAGATAAAGCCTTCTCATTTCTTAACTCCCTCTCCCTGAACACAAGGTTTTTTTTTTCCTATGAAATCTGTCCCTGTTCTTTATGGTGCCCAAGTGGAGCTTCTTATCCTAAAGCAAAGTCCCTTGATAGTGCCAATGGCCAAGTGTTCAGATGCTCTCTGGAAGATTGGGGATGTGAAAGCCACCAAGAGGCGCCTTGGATTAAAAGCTCATAGAAATGTTTCTAAAATACAATCTTTTGAAAACCCTGTGGAACACAGTTCTATTCTAGCACACATGGGGTCACCATGAGTCAGGGTCAAGTTGACAGCAACTGTTGGTGCTGGTGTCATCCTAGAGCAGTGATTCTCAACCCATGGGTCATGACCCCCTTGGGGGTCAAACAATCCTTTCACAGTGGTTGCTTGATTCATAACTGTAGCAAAATTGCAGTTATGAAGTGGCAACGAAAAGAATTTTATGGTTGCGGGCTCACCACAACATGAGGAACTGTATTAAAGGGCCACGGCATTAGGAAGGTTGGGAACCACTTTCCTAGAGCATGCTCTAAGATCTGACTTCAACATTTTGTCCCACGAACTTGCATTCTCAGGCATGCCCTGAACCAAAGCTATGTCTGTTTCATATTCATGTCCACCTTCCAGACCAAGGTGAATGATATAATATTTCAGCTTTTTCACAATTTGGCTACTTGAGACCAAAAGTAAGAAGGGGACAAAAATGGGTTGGGGTGACCTAAACCATGTCATGAAGTGTATTACTTCTTTTTTGTAACCAGAGAAGGAAGCCCTTTATACATAGACTATTGACTATTTGTATTTTCATACTGTTATTCACCCACTGGTGATCAGAAACAGCATATAATTGAGGCGAGAAGTAGAGAAATTTCTACAGATACTTAAGAGCTGAAGGAAGCTTGGAAAAGATGTAGCCAACTTGTTCCCTGGCTTTTTTGATGAAGGACCTGTATGGCCATCACCAGTCGTACCCCCAGTCATGATAGTCACCCATCTTCACGGTGATGCTGTCACCAAGCAAAGGATCCATGTGGTCAGTTTGTACTCTTTTAGAAAAAGAATGATTTTATTTACTTTAGAGAGACATACAGGTATCTCATGGCAACGCTGTATGTGCAGACAACTGTACTCCGTAGGGTTTCCTAGGCTGTAATCTTTTATAAAGAAATGACCAGGTCTTCCTTCTGAGATGCCTAGGAGACCTGGTTAAAAGTTGGGCTGTGATCCAAAAGGTCAGTAGTTTGAAACCACCGCCTCTCTGAGGGAGAAAGACCGTAACTCATAAAGAGCTACAGTCTTAGAAACTCACAAGGGCAGGTCTGTCCTGGCCTAGGTAGAACTCGTAGGGTCAATGGGTTCTATGTCAGGCCAATGACCATCAACTTGATGTCAGTGAGTGTGGTTTGGTTTTTTTTGTTGTTGTTCTTCTAAGACACCGCAGGGCAGATTTGAACCGCCTTTTGGTTAGTACTCTAGAATGTAACCATTTGTGAATTGCAATCAAGTTGATCGTTGATCAAATTCAAAACTATATAGATTTCTACTCCAATTTTTTTGGAAAGAATATTTGGCACTTAATGAAGTATCAGTTATCTAGAAATCATGTATTTGCCAAAACCCAACCAATTTTCATGATAATAAAGTCTAAAGGAAACATTCACAAAATAACTAATACTGTTTTATCCTCGTAAATAAATGCTACGCTACAAGTTTAATTTTCCATTAAACTCTTCTCCATGTAAACCTGAGGTTCGAGCCCGGTGTCACCTGAAGTCACCACTAGCATGCTCTGCTATTGTGCTTCCGTTTTGCCTATAACCCTGAAAGAGTAACTCCCTGTAGAAGTTGATCGTCTCTCGCAGACAGTAAATCATTTTATATTTCTTCCTGACATTGCATCGTACATTTTTTATTGCAAAGTTGTCATCAGAAGGAATGGCTACCTTCCATCCCCCTGGGCACCATGAACACAGCCTTGCCATCAAAAAGTGAAAAAGAGAAGCAACTTAGAGCCTTGGTTCATAAGTACCAGAATAAACCTACGGAACAGCAGCCACAGGTGAGGTGTTACTAATACTTTTTCCAAACTTTAACCCGACTCTTGCACTATTAACTAACTACATGTGGATATGAACTAGCATGTCTTACCCTCTTTAAATATTTTTGGCCTAAACGCTAGAGGTGAGGACAGGTGCTTCATGGATACAAAGGTGGAAGCAGATCTTTTATTTTATTTTTATTAAAGTACTGTAGTGGTGTGTCAACTACAATAAGCTGACAGTTTTTCTTTGGTTCTGTGAAATAATCCTCGGGATTTCTTGGGTAATTGTGTTAATCTAGGTACTTTAGAGAAACAAATCCACCAAAACTCATGTATAAGAGAGAGTTTTATGTAAAGGTTAAGTGCACATCAAGAAAATATTCCAACCCAGTGCTGCCCAAGCCCACAAGTCCAACATTAACCCATATGTCCGACACCAATCCACAAAGTCCTC